TTTTTTTTTGGGGGAGGAAGGTGGGGGGACGGTTTAAACGTCGAAAATTACGTTGAAAATTTTCAATCAGCAAAAATGGGGGGTAAAAAAAAAGGCGAATAATTTTTTTTTACCTTTTTATCTTTTTGTGAAAAAGTCGTTTGTTTTTTTTCGCAAACCTCATTTTCCGGTTTTTTTATTGTTAAAAATTTCAGGTACGGTCTAACACCTCATCCGCCATTTTAAAAACTCTTTCTCGGAAAAGTCTAAGTGAAGACCGTAACGGTACTTTCAAATGTAAAAAATTTAAGAAGATTAAATGTGAAATCCACGTTTGCAACTCCCACGACCTTTCACCTTTTTTTAAAAAAAAATGTAGACTTATGAAAAGACTAATACGTAGTAAATGCATTTCTACAGGGTGACCCCCGCCCCGTCCCCCAAACCAAACCAAAGAAAATGGTTTAAATGATGCACCTACCCATAATACTTAATAACAAACCTTTCATTTATTTTTTCTCCTCATTTAACCACCAATTTCTCTCTTCTCTATTTTTTTAAAAGAATACCTTTACCCATAAGGTAAAAATAAAATTTTGTATTCAATGTATAAAAAAAATTTTTATTTAGAAAAAGTTTTTTTTTTTCCTATTTACGATCCTCCTTTTAAAATGTTTATTTTAATTTTATTTCGGTCATAGTTACGACGTAATTATCGATTAAACTCTGATTTATTATTATTATTATTATTATTATTATTATTATTAATATAAACAGGTAAATTAATTAAAAACGTTGAAGTGATCGTGATGATAAAGAAAATGTTTTTTTTTTGGCGTGTGTGTGCGTTTCCACTTTGTTTTCAAAAAAAAAAAAAAAAATAGATAAAAAGAGAAAGAGACAGAGACGGAGGGGTGAAGCGGGGGAAGGGAAAATTATTAGGTACAAATAATAATAATAATAATAATAAGGCTCACTTAGTTATTTTTTTTTTTTTTTTTTTGAAAGAAGAAACTAAAAAGACGAAGGAGAATGAGAAAGGAAAGTTTTTAACAAAAGGTAAAAACCTTTTTCACGGGGAGGGGAGGGAGGAGGAGAAAGAAAAGGATTTTCCGGTAGTAATAAAAATAAAATATATAGGTTTTTTTTTTTTTGAATCGGGAAAAGGGGTAAATTTTCTTTTATTTTTTTTTGGTGTCAACAAATTAAAAAATTCCGGTTTTGCCTGAAGAAGGAGGGGAAAAAAATTTTTCAACTCTGACTTTTTAAATAAATAAATTTTTCTATGGTTTTTTTATTTCGAAAATAAGTATGGGGGAGAGGGAAGAGGGGGGAGGTAAGAGGGAACGTCAAAACTTACCGTGAACGTCTACGCATCCGACTTGTTTCTTCATTTTATTTGTATTTATTTGACACATGTAACATCCTCTGTCAGATTCTTTAACTTGTCTTATGTGCAATTGCCAAACCTGTCGGGAATGATCGTGCGTTACGCTTATTCTAGAATTATGCGTAACGACTCTGTTATCAAGCGTTAATATCGTTTGATCTTCGGCTTTTAACCATCCGACCTACAAAAAAAAACGTTATCGTTATTATTATTATCATTTAAAATGGGCAATCTGATAAAACAAACAAACAAACAAACAATAACGCATCATGATGTTCGTTTGAATGGACATGTACGTTTTCCTTCATCGAACAAAAACAACAAATTTCGGTTTCAGATTAACCAAATTTACATGGGTGAAAGAGGCGTGAATGAACGACGGAGGGGAAGGGAGAGGGGCGTTAAAGGAGGAGGCATTCGGTGAAGGCGGGGAGTGAGGGGCGATGGGAAAGAATCGAAGTGCAATTTCCCTTTTGTTTGTAAAAATATTTCGAACCGAATGTTATCCGAAAAAAAAAAAATTTTTTTTTTGAACGTTTTAATTATTTAAAATTCAAAAAATTGTTTTTCCAGTCGGCGAAAGAAGGGGAAATGAGGAGGGAAGGGGAATGAGAGGGGGAGACTAACTGGAAAAATCAAGAAAGTTTTTAATAGTTGAAAAAAAAAAAAAAATAGAAAACATCATTGGAAAAATGTATAAACGTCCAAACAAATTCAAACAAAGTTTTTTGGTAGACATGTTTTTTGAAAATTCTTCTCCAGGAGTTTAATCCTGGATAAAAAAAAATTTTTTTTTTTATCCAGATGGTTCAGTTGGCGGACTTTTGATTCAGTTAGACTTTTGGTAACTTCTTGCATTTTTTTTTTTTTTATTAATTTTTTCTCTTCAGTGAATTAAAAAACAAAATTCCAGGGAATCGATTTTGTTTTTCTCCAAAAAAAACTTAAATTTCAAATTAGTATCAATATTAAACATGATAAAAAACGAGAATAAATAAATATTAAAATTTTAAACTAATCCGGAAATAGATTGTAAAAAAAAAAAACGGAAACAAGAAAACATTTTAAATTTTTTATTCTATGCCACAAAACAAAAAAATTTTTTTTTATTTACGTGTATTAATCTCTTCTTCTTCTCATTTTATATACTCTATGTAATTTTAGTTTAGTTTAGTTAAAAACCTCCTGGAGAAAAAAAAAAAATTTAATTTTTTGCGAGACTGGAGAATGAAAAAAAAAAAATACGAACGTTATTAAATTATGTTTTTTTTTTTTTCCATTAAATAATATTTGACGTTTTGTTTGTCCAGTAAATTTTTTAGTATGTTTTTCGAGTCGTATAATTTAATTTTAAATTTAATTTGATGACGATTTTGTTGTTTGTTGTTGTTTTTGTTGTTTTTTCATCCATTTTCGTCTAGAGAGAGAAATCGAACGCGAAAAAAAATTTTTTTTCTTTTTTTTTCCAGTGTTCGTATTTGTTTTCATAAGCTGAGCATGTAAAAAAAAATTTCCGGTTTTTTTTGCTCTTTTTACTTTTTCATCTTTATCATTATTATTATTATTATTATTATAAAAATGATAATGATAATAATTATTAAAAAATTATTCGGTGAAAGAGTGGAAGTTAGAAAAAAAATAAAAAAAGAACCTTTTAAAGGTTTTTCTTTCCTTTTTTCCTTTTTTTTTCACTCTTGTTTTCACAAAAATAACCTTTAAATCAAATATTTAGGCGGTTTTTCTTTGGGTCGGTTTCTCTCTAATCTCAGCTACTACTTTTGAGCAATCTGTCTTTGCCTATTATATTTACGTGATTTTTTTTCCTTTCCTTTTTTCCTTTTTTTTTCCTTTTTCTCTTATTTTCTTTTTACTCTATACCCTTTTTAATTCCATCGTTCTTTTTTTTTTTACTTTTCCTTTCTTTTTTTTTATCCGATTTTAAGCTTGTAAAAACCGTTAGGATTTTCCTTTTCCTTTTTTCCCTTTTCTTTTTTTTTTCTTTTTAACCCTCAATTTAATTTATTATTAATATTATTATTATTTAATTTTTGTTACGATGATTTTCCATTTTTTTTTTCCTTCTTCCGTTTTTTTTCTTTTTTTTTTCCTTTTTCCTTCCTTTTTTCCTTTTTCTTTTTTTTTTGTTTTAGAAGTAATTTAAAAATTTTATTTCCTGTCATTTAAATGCTTTTTTTTTTCTTATATAATTCACTTTAAACAGGCTTTTAACGTTTTTTCTTATTCCACTTCTTTTTTTTTTGTTTTGACTTTTGTTTCATTCATTCCATTCTTTCTTCCATTCTTTTCTTTTATTTTAAATGCGTATAACTTTTGTTAAACGTATAATAATTTAAAATAAAATTGATATACTTTTTTTTCCTTTTTTTTCCTTTAACACTTCTTTTTTCGTAAAAAAAAAAATAAAATAAAAATGACAGACATGTTTTATTTTATTTAAAATGAAAACGAAAACAACGCAACTACTTTAATATTTTAAAATTATTTTTTTTATATATATAAAATTTCCTTTTTTCCTTTTTTTTTTTTTTTTTTGAACTTGCTCGACTGACTCCAGTAAATTTTTTTTATTTATTTATTTATCCTTTTTCTAAGGTACAAACGCATTACCCCGGATATTTTTATTACGGGTCAAAATATTTATGTTACGCTTTTACAAAAAAAAAAAAAAATAAATTTATTATTATTATTATTATTATTATTATTATTTTTATACCCTTTTTTTCACCATCATTATTATTATCATCGTTGTAGTAGTCGGCGGATACACCCATCGAATAAGCGTAAAAATATATGTATATATAGTAAAACAATAAAATTTTATGTATTAAATTTTTTTTTTTTTTTTATATGACGTTAGAACCAGGATGTTCATCCCAAAAAATAAAAAAAAAATTTTCTTTTTTTTTGGGGGGGTGATGACGTAAAAGGTCACCGAACTATCTAATCATTTATCATTTTATTTTGTATTCGAAGAATAATAATACGCGCGTAAAATACGATACGCGTAAAATACGATACGCGTAAAATTTAATTAAAATAACAAACAACAAACCGATACAAACACGTGGTTAATACGGTTGTTGTATGTATTAAATTTAAATATCAAATTTAAACGGGAATAAAAAACAAGAAAAAAACCGTTTTCTCGGTCGTCGGCGTTCGCATTAAACGGTTTTTTTTTTTTTTGTTTCGAGACGTTCGCTTATGTTATAAAATATTTATTTTTCCTTTTTTTTTTTTTTTTTTTTTTTAAACATGGCTTGAATATAAATTTAGATAAGAAGGGGTAAATAAATATATGGATGCAAATTACTTTAACCGTGCTTAATAAAATCAAAATAAGTGGCTCATTTATATCCGCATCAAAACACGAAAAAGAACTCACGCACGCACGCACGCACACGCGCACACTTACACGCACACGAACGACACAGTTCATGATTTAATATAGGAAAAAAACGAAAAAGGGTAAACACGGTTGGTTAACAATAACTAAAACTAAAATTAACTTTTTATTATTATTATTATTATATATTTACGTTTTAGGCGTGGTAAAAAGTTCAAGGGGAGTAAATTGATAAGAAGTTTTTGCGGAGAGAGTATTAAGGGGGTAGAAGGAAAGGAAAGGGTAGGGATAAAAAAAAAAACGTGTTAGAAATTTCATGTGTGTGTGTGTTACTAAATTCCTCGTGTGTGTGTTCGTATGTGTTTATTGTCATCAAATTTTCAAGTTGTTAAACGTTTTAATAGTTTTAGTTAATGTGACGTAAATTATTATTATTATTATTATTATTATTATTATTGTTTTATTTCCAAAAAAAAAGAAAAAAACGACTGAAGAAAAAATATAAACAAATGTGGGAGAATGAATGAATGAATTCGATTTAAATTTGTGGGCGGCGATGGTGGCGGTGCCAGCGGGGAAAAAGAAAAACAGTTTAGGGATGGTGAGGGGAGAAATGGGAAGGCATCGTTCGATTTTCCACTTTACTATTAGAATAATATTCGTAAATGTAATGTTTGCTAATTATCAACATAACATTACCATCAATTATATGTCTTGTTAATAATGGAGTCACTGTCACAAAGAGATTATGAAAATCGTTTACAGGTTTTATTATTTATACGAAACAAATAAGATATAAGTAGGAAGAAGAATATAATAATAATGATAATGATAATAATAATAATTACACGTCGCAAAAGGATTTTTTTTTTTAAATTCGAACGAACGTCGTCTTACGACTAATTAATATTATTTTCCCATTCGATTTATATCACGCGAGGATTTGTCGTATTTGTTTCCTTCCCCCCACTTCCCCCATTCCTAAAAAACACCATCCGACGTTATCGATAATAATGATGATGATAAGTTTTTACAAAAAAAAAAGTAAGAAAAGAAAAGAAAGAAAGAAAGAAAATTTATTTTATTATAACGAAAAAAAAAAAAAAGGAAAGTTGTGACGTAAATAATTTATTTTACGATAATAATAATAATAATAATAATAATAATTTTTTTCTTCTGCTGTTTTTTAAAAAATATATTATTAAAAAATTATTGTTATTTAAATAATATATTATTAAATTCGAATCAATTTATATTTTTTACACTTTTTTGATTGTAAGGAAAAACATAAATTTTCAATTTTTTTTTCTTTTTTTTCCTGGAGTTTTTTTTCTTCCCTGTTGTTGTTTCTGTTGTTCCTGTTTTTTTTGTTCAATCTTATTTTATTTGTCATTAATAAAAAATTGAAAGTAAAAGTTTTTT